ACACACACAAACACACACACACACACACACGCACACGCACACGCACACGCACACGCACACACGCACGCGCACGCACACGCGCACGCGCACGCGCACGCGCACGCGCACGCGCACGCGCACGCGCACGCACACGCACGCACACGCACATGCACGCACAAGCACACAAGCACGCACCATGTCGATTCCCCATTCCTGGACAACGCAGTGAAAAGACTGAACTGCCTCTAGGTTGCTCCACTCGCTGCATCCAATACATAGCTGGCAGCCTCCAGCGATCACTGGCAAACGTATAAGCGATCTGCTGGTCCCAGGCCTTCGTTAGAACAACAACATGCGTCTATCTGATCGAAGCAACAATGGCTGAGAACATCAGGTGCAATGCGGACATCCTATTGTAGCCCTGCAACCTAAGGTAGGTTTCAGCTGGAATATATTCATCAACAGCCCCTGGAAGCCCTGGAAGCTCACCTTGTTGAACTGGAACCCTCCCAGGTCATGGTTGCCGAAGACGCTCAACCAGGGCTTTCCATCCAGGCCAGGTCCATTGTAGATGTCCTCGAAAATCACCTTGAATTGAGCCTGGGTTTGTGGATGGATTTGGCTCATTGGATGGCCACATTCTGTCTCGATGCCCCCCCAATAAAAATTGTCGCCGACATTCAAGACAAAGTCGGGATTGCTTTCAGGCGCTCGCTTCTTCATTTGCGTCGCGACCAGCGTCTGCGCGCGCAGATCAATTTCAGCCTTGAAGTGGCAGTTCGTTGGGCACACGGCAGTAGCACCAAAACAGTCGGACATCTCTTTGGTGCTGCATCCTGGACCTCGATGTCTCGCCATGGTGTGTGGGCCTGGTGTATGGCCACCTTTGTACTGGATGATGGCTTTCGGCGCACCTGAGCCAATGCCTAGCAGGGAACCCCAGTCTCCCAGAGCGAAAATGTGCTTCGTATCGGTTCCAGAAATCCTCATGGTTTCCCAGGATGCACCATTGTGGGTCTTCACACCTGTGGGCGGGTCGAGCCCGCCACGCCGCGCAAGCCTTGTGCTTGCGGGCATCGGCTGCGGCGGCTGCGGCGGCTGGTATGTCGGCATGCTTGGCACAGGTGCAGTGGGCGGCCGGAAATAGGGTGCTGGGATCGGCGCATAATGTGGGACCGGGTTGTAGGTCGGATTGTACATCGGATACATCGGCGGCATCCGGGGTGGTGCATAGTTTATTTGGGGATGCATGCACTGAGGAAGCCAGGGATAGTACATGCACAGGTACGGTTGACGATCATTCTCCGTCTCGCGGTGCACGTCCTTTCCCAGACCGTCACGAGCGGTGCCCGCAGCACTCAACTTCTGTCCACGTAGCTGCATGGCCACTAAGCTGCACGATGAGTCAGCTGAGTCCGAGTCCATGCATTCGTCCTCCAAGAATGCATCATCAAGCGCCACTGCAGCCAGCAAATGGCAGACGATTCTCAGCAACATAGTTTGACGAAAGCGCTTTTGCCACAAGAGAGCTTGAGCCATGGAACTTTAGCAGAGAGGCGTGCGGCCCACTCGTGCATTTGTGGAGGTGAAGACCAACTGCAGGCCTTGCGCCTGTCTCTCACTCTACGGCTCCAAGTCCTTCATCGCTTCTCCATCTTCTTATGGTTCTGAAAAAGTGAAAAAGGGACAGACGAACGGACGAACCACGCAGCGCACGAGCTCCAGCAGGTTTTGGCACTTTCTTTGTTCACTTCTATATTGCTGTCGGTCTTTCTTCCTTTCTTTCTGTCTTTCCTTGGTTCTTTCAAGTAGATATGTCGTTCTTTCTTTCTGTACTAGTACGGCAAGCATCTCCTAACAGCCTTGCAGATTGTTCTTCATCAAAGGTTATTGGCTAGCTACGTCTCGCGATCGTTCTTTCTTTCCTGCTTCGTTCGTACATGTCTGCCGTTCTTGCTTCATGTAGTCATTTTTTCCTGATTTATGTATTTATGTCGCTGTTGTGTTCGTTCGTTGGTTCCTTCTGTCTCTGTATTTCTGTCTACATGTATGTCTTTCGTTTGTTGTGCCTTTAATTCTTTCGTTGGTTCCTTCTTTCTCTCTTTCCTTAGTTCCTTCGTTCAATTCTTTCTGTCACCATTTAGCTACTCATTTCGTTCGTGCATTATTGCGTTCTTTCTTTATGTCTGTTGCTCTTTCGTTCGTTCCTTCCTTCCTTCTTTCGTTCGATACTATTCTTCTCTTCGGTCTTTCTTTTTTTCGCTATCTATTTCGGTATTTCCTTCTTTCTGTCGTTCGCTAATTCTTCATTTCTGTGTTCATGTCTGTCTTTATGTCTGTATTTCTGTCTTTACGTTGTTATTTATGTCGTTGCTTCTTTATGCTTGTTTTGTTATTTCGTTCTGCATGTCATTAACTATGTTTCTTTATTTGTTTTGTGTATGTGTCTTTCCTTCTTTATCTTCTTTATTTCCTTCCTTCCTTCTGTTTTTCTTTCGTTATTACGTTATTACCTTCCTTCTTTTGCTATGTATTTATTTCTTGCTTTTTCTGGTAGGCTTGGAGAAAAGCTCTACTTCTTCCTTTCTCAGCTTTGAAGAGGTGTGTGGTGCCGCGGCCTGGAGCATCGGCAAATCGCTCAGCGCAGAGTGCCAGCTGTGCAGGCGACAGCCCCTGGAGAGAGCCGCTCAGCAGCGGGAGGGCCTCGACGAGACAAGCACGAAAGGTGCCGGCGGAACAACGGGATTATTTCTGCATAATTCTGTGCTGCCCGCATTCTCCAAGAGCTCCACATCCACCGGCCTGGCTTCGCTCGCACTCCAACTCGGATGTCTGAGATCTCTCTGCCAATTCGGGGCTTCTGCTTTGCAGGTGCATCTTCTGGAGCTGACGGTCCTCTGCATTCGATGCCTATGCCTAGCTGCTTTCTTTTCATCTTTCTCCGCTCCTGACGATGGAGATGAAGGCGAGCGCGTGCTGCTTGCAACTGTCACAGAGCAGAAACCATTACAGAAAGGGATCAATCCGCAGAGCACGACGACATGTGTGAGAAACACGTTGCCTGCCCGCTGCAACGAATCCAGCCCTTCAAGAGCCTGGCTGCCACACGTGGCTGACTGCTTCCCTTGCATTGCAAGAAAGCCATCCTTACAGAGCCTATGATGTGGTACCTGCGCGACCCGCGCGCCACGCTGGTTCCTTCGGAAGCACTCGTCTGGATTCCACGGGGCCTGGATTTCAGCAGGAAGAATGGGTCGAGTAAAGCAGTGTCGGAACGCTCGGCTTCGGGCGAAGTACGGCACCTCAAGTTGCGGAGTTTGTGCAGATTCATCCATGCAGAGGCACAAAGGTGGACCCCGCATACTCAGAAACTGCCTTGGGTGTCCGGCCTCGGGCAGCCCGCTGGATGTGGAGTCCAGCTTGCGTGTTACGGCATTGTACCACCGCCTCCTTCGATTCGATGTCTCTAATGCTTCAGGCTATCAAGCCGAATCCGTCCAAATCTCTGCGGGGCCATGGGAGAGTCCTCCTTCTTTTCGGCACAGCACGGTTCTCATCATCTTGAATGTCCTGGAGCAGCTTCATTACCAAGAGCACGAAGGCTTTGATAGGCTGAAGCAAACAATGTTGCATTCCTAAGCATGCAGCTGCAGCTGGAGCGGCTGCTGACACGAGCACGTGGGAACAAAGGACAAAGGCGGGTGGAGATATTTTGTTGTTATTTGGCTTTCTTCTTTTTCATCTAGAGTGGGCGGGTGGGTGGTGGGTGGTGGGACGTACAAGTGGGCTTCGAAGCACTTTACAAGGCAAAGCCGAACGAGCTTTCGCCTACGCAACATACCGTATTGACATGAAACAGATTAGATAGCCGCCGGAAGGGAGGATGAGGAAGACGAGAAATTGCTTCGTCAAGGTTTCGACCAAGTAGTCCGTGAGTTCAGGATGGCAAGGGGAGAAATTTATGGACCACCATCCAATCATGCGGAAAACACCCACGTATGTTGCATCAATCGCCACCTCATCAGAGTCCAGGCCGCAGAAATGGCAACATCGATATCATCCAAGTTCCGGCATCGATCTGGTAGAAACTTGCGTGCCTCATTGCGAATGCACACCCTCTTTGCTGAGACCTGCTAGCACCCAGAGTGTTCCATTCAAGAGCTCGGGGAAACTGCAAATTAGAGTTAGCTAGAAGGCGATCCAGGCATCAAAACACTGGCTGGACAAAGACACCTGAACTCCAACGCCAACGGCATAGCAACAGAAGAGAGACGACTAAAAGAAGCCACCATGAACATTGCTTCGCCTCACGTTTCAACACCGAATATGTGCCTTCTTCATGCCTTCAGAAGAAAGGGCTCACCGGACAGATGGCCACAGACAGAGAAAAGCAGAACAGCCAACGTAGTGCGCCTCCTCGACGATGCCATCCTCAATGACAGCGTCGACTGGAACCACCTGCTGAGCACCGATGTAGCGTCCACTCGTCAGTACTGACACCATGCCTGGAAGTTGTCGTCAACGTCGGTATCGACACTTTCCAGCGAGCCGAGATCCTCCACAGGCACAGAAGCCTCGGCTGGCGACTGGCAGCTTGGATGCCACAGGAACATCTCTCGGCCCATCACGGGTTCTGTCCGCTGCTCCTGTGTGGTTTGCGTTTGTCGTGGGTTGCTTTTTCCGTGGTCCCTCGTCCCTTATGCAGTGTCCTTGCCAGAGAGCTGCGTGACCAGCTGCGGCTCGGCAAAAGCCGGCATGGGCGTCGACATGGCATCCTGGTGCTTAGGAGAATCTGGATCCGGTTTGGATACAACCGACCAGCGTCCTCGAGCGGGGCGCTCACGCGCAGTCCCTGCAGCCCGGCTACCACCTCTTGTCCGAGCGCCTCACGTGGACGGTATTGGAAGCGGACTCAACTCTGCGGTCTCTGTAGCCCGCCTCGAACAATGCCGGCTCTGCGACCTCGGGGCACCGTAAGGTTGCAAGGCTTCTTTGGGCAACTCGGGCTCTCTTCGCGCTGGGCCCAGGGGCTTCCAGGCGCTGTGCCGCTCGCAGCGTCGGGCAGAGGAAGCGCATTTGGCTGCCAGGGACCTGCGAAGCGAAGAGCAAAGCGAAGAGAAACGAAGCCCAGGAGGCAGGCTCAGGCCTTGCTGGCGAGGGCCATCCAGAATTCGATTGGAGCCTGAAGTTCAGGCGCATGCTGCGAGTCTTGGCCGCCACGCTAGGCGAGGCCACTCGCCTCAAACGGCTCGTCCAGCTCTGCAAATGCCGTCAGAACTTCCGCCACGGAGCCGAAGGCAGAATCCTCAAAAAGCATCCACATCTCGTAAGACAGGTGGGACATGCCATGGGCAAGCATAACTCACGGTTCTGACATGCCTATCTCTGCGCAACATCTGTAGGATCTCATGTGTCCTCTATTCGCTGCAGTAGGACCGAGTTGACTGCTTTGAGCATCTCGGAATCCTCGCAGCTCCACTACGCACAGAAGGGTCAGCCGGCCGAGACTTAAGCCTTTGCCGGCTCCTTGTAGCGCAAACTCGCGAATGCCTTGCACAAGACGGCTAGGGTTTGAGGGTCTGCAGCTGCAGCTCCGTACCTGCAGGCAGGGTCAGGCTTTTGCCAATGATCCCTCGAGGCTGCCCGGCCTCTCAGCATCTTCCAGAGTGGTATACGGCTGTTCCAGCAGAAGCCGGGCCACATGCTCGGCAAAGGCTTTGAGCATGAACTCGCTCACACCTCGGTGCTGGCCAGCAACACTACATCTTGGCATGTCTTGGCTCACTCGGGCGGTGGCAATTAAAATGGGCGTATGCATTCAAGATCACGGCCGTCTCCACCAGGGATAGCTTGTCCACGTCTTCAATCAGTTCCTTTGCTTTGCACGCAAGAGTAGGCGGCGACGACTGGTACCTACCTGGGATCTAGCCGGATATTTGTGGAATGGAGATAGCCTGTCGCCACTCCTTGTCCTTTCTACCGATTCTTGTCGGCAGTTTGATGGAACATGGTGATTTCTTCAGGGCGTCGAGCTTAGCATGCCCAATCCTGCTCAACGAAAACCAACGGCGCGGAACCTTGAGCCAGTTCAGCTCGGACTGCTAAACTCAGCATGTGAGCAGCAGGAAGCTCTCGACACATCCCTTTCAGCGAAACGAAGATCTGTAGATTCGAGGCTCTCGAGAGATGGTCTTCATCAGGTGAGTGTGGCGGTGGTTTGCTGTCAAGAGCGTGTCCACGATTACAGCCAGGTCACCTGCCCCAGAAAAAAACTCGTGAAAAGTGCTCAAGAGTCCTGCAGGCTTGTCCTTGCAGCATATGGTGCCAGTCATGCCTGCCTACGTCCATGATGTCGCGCAGTTGGACAGTCCGCTCGGCAACCTATCATTTTGTCGTGTGAGGCCGGCTTGACTGCAAGGCACGAGCCAGCGTGAGCTGCGAAAGCTCCCGGCCTGCTGCCAGAACACTTTGTCCTGGACAAGTCCAGCTACCCCAGTAGAGCGGAGCCCTCCGACAGACGCTACAATCATCCCTGCAAGGCCCAGCGAGAGATGTACAGACACTGTACAGATATCAGCTCTGTGCCGCTGCGTCTCCTCCAAGCGCTCAACTTGCGCGCGCTGCGCAGTGTCGACAAGCGCCCGAGGCGAAAGGAGCCTCGGCGGTTTCGCTTCGAGACGGTCTCTTGAGTCACGACAAACACCTCCTTTCCTCTTTGCAGCCACGAGACGAAGGCTCGGGCCAGCCCGGTATCTGGACGCCGCTCATGGGACCGCCAAGATAGCACCTGCAAGGAAGCGAAAAACCTTTGCCAGATTTACATTGTTCCGTTGGGCGTTGCGGCCAGGAAACCATTTACCACGCTGCCGCTGACGAACACGATGGTACTTGTGATGCTGCCATTTGTACGGGTTCTTCTCCCAGGCATTGATGTAGTACCGAGGCACAACCTCGTGCAAGGAAAAAACGGGCCGCACATAAAATCGTTAGAGAAGCCATTAGAACAAATTACCAATGAAGGTTTAAAACAAAGTTCTCAAAGGTGTGACAAACTGTCTTGCAATACAACCACCGACAGCAGCAAACTGTGCTTCTGCTCATTGAAAGTTTGGCACTTTGCCAGCTCAAGGCTCAACGGGACACATTGTGAACAAAGAAGCTGTTCGTGACCGAGGGGCTCGAGAAAAGGAGTGCAAAGTAGTGCAAAACTTCAAGGGCGATGCCAAGTACACCTGCACGATCGCGAAGAACCCCAGCAGCTGGAACTCGAAAGCATGCAGCACTCTAAGACTTCCTATCGGACTCATGCCTCTAGCTGTTGACCTGCTCACCCTTGGACAGAGACTCGCCCACCCCCGAATCCCCAAGTCGTCCGGCCGCGCGGTAGGCGTTGCTCAACTCGCGGCTGCGCAGCGCCATGTTTGCCCGGCGGTGCCCGGAGCTACCTACATTGTGATCTTCGGGTGGCGGTGAACAAAGTGAACTGGGTTTCTGTGCTGTGTGCTGTTCGAGAGGCTGTTTGCGTGTATGGAAAAGGTCCAAGGCTGCGGCACATTACACCAGAGTTCCATCTCTGCACCCCAGAGGCCCACATCCCGTGAAAAATGCCCGTCCTCACCCTCCAGCACGAGGCTTTTCGGGCTGCCCTAGGTCCATTCACGAGCTTCCTTCACACGAACTTTGAACTTGACGGATATTCAGCCAGTGACTGGGGCGGCTGATGGCCGCAACAGAGGGCTGCCTTCAGCTGCGGCGACACTGTCTGAAACCAACCTGTCCTCCTTTCGGTGAGGCTGAAGCACGGCTCTGACAATAGCAAACTTGTTTGCAACATCGCATGTGCGAGATGGCTCAGCCGCTTTGCGGACAAGAGTGAGACATCACATATTCCTGTCGCGATCTCACCAAGACAACAGTAGCAATGTTCGTTCCGAATCTGTGATGACTCTGCCTGTGACCTTGACGAAGGACTTTCCAGCTCGATGGTCACACATCATCGGTGTTCGGAGGTCTGGGACCACGACAAAGAACGACAAAGCTAAAGGGACCCGCTCTCTCATCCACGGGAGCCTGTCCTCAACGACCATCAGAATGCGAAAATCACCAGAGGATGCATCACTCATTCCGATGGCGAGCTTTAAAGGATGTCGGGAACATCGCACCTTCGATCATGAGTCATAACGAGCCGTATAAAACTCTTTTTCCAACCTTTTGCAGATACTATAGCACCGAAGGAGCCAAGCAGACCGGCAATCCGATTTGCGGAAAAGTGCAGATATCGGAGGTCTTCTCCAGGCTTATTGAAGTGCTTGTTCTATGTGCCAGCCATAGCTAAAAAGTTGATCATTACACGTCCTTCAAACCGACTAAAGGACAAAAAGACAGGCGCAGACCAGGTGAAGGGGGCCGAAGCCAAAGGAAGACTGCAAGACCCGGCGGAGACACTTGGCCTCCTGCTTCGGGATATTATGCAACACGGGCTTGCGACAGTCGCTTCAGAAGTCTCAACCGGCAAGACCTGCAAAGCGGCGGTGTGCGACGTGCTCAGAATTCCAGGGCTTTCGCGCCATAGCAACCAATGCTGGCACTCTACAAATTTTGGCTCTGGTCGTCGATGCGGCCTGGTTGGGTCGTCATCCTCGGGCACATCCAGCTCCTCCATCAGCCTCTTCAGGGGCTTGAACCTGAAGCGAGCAAAGGGCGAGCACTGGATCGGAGTGACGAACTTAACCAGTGAACACATCGCTGGCAAGGTACAGCCGTTTCCTCGTCAAAGGTCTCTCTGGCTCCACCATGCCTGCAGTGTGATCCCTCCCTTGATGAAGCTAGACGTATAGAGCATGGATCAGGCATGATCCAGTCGAGGGGCGCTTGACGTCGCGAAATTGATCCTCCACGAGAGAGCAGAGCTTCTGAACTTGCAATCCCAGGCGGGTCATGTCGAACATGATGGCCTTACACCACGGGTCGGCACAAGCGCAATGGCTAGTACGGATTTATCTTTTCACACAGTGCTAACCAGATCAGTTTCACTGCTACTGAGCTACTGCAACAGTACTTCTCGACAGCTGGTGCGTTCTCACCATTCTCCATGAGACCAAGTCGACTCTCACTTCATGCAATCCGAGAAGCAAAAATATCAATGCTTTTCGCATGGCCTTTGAGCTTCATGGTGCCTTGAACAAACTCCTCCACGGTAATGTCACCACCTCGGATAATACTGAGAATGAGAAACACAAAATCATTTGACCCCACTTCCAGGTATGCCAAGCTCTCGCAGTCGACATCCTGGACGCTTCGAGCTGAGACAGATGCTGCCGTTCGTGTCCATGAGAGTGAAGATTGTACCTCTGCAATGTAGACGCATGCATGCAACACGCCACATTGCGCAGTGCTCAGTCCATTTTAAACGTAAACGTCCAGCCTGCATCATCGGCCCCAATATCAAGGCCGGCAAAATAAGCCGCAACCCAAGCGTTCTGCTTCAAACACCGGGAAAAAGCCTCCCACTCAGACATTCTCATCAACTAACTGCTGTAGCTCTTCCGGTCCGACCTCCAGCGTCAACCGGCCAGAGTCACCAACATCTGCTGAATGAAAGATACCTGCAAACACAGCAAAGCGCGATAAACCACCCATATGCCTCGTCACTGCATGTCTGTGCATTGCTTTCCATGACTACACACCGGAGAACTCCGAGCTGCGTTGGACTTCGTCCGACGTTCTTTGAAGATCTTCACGGTATGAATCCACAACCTCAGACAGCATGGCGACATGGCGACACTGCAGAAGACCGCAGCCTGGCCCGGCCTCGTCTTCCGTGCGGGTTGTGACCGCACTGTCCACGAAAATACCCGTGACAACGTTCAGCAATCCCACTAAGCCTCAGCCAAAGAAAAAGCAAGACCCTTGCTCCCCGAATCCAGACATGTCCGTTGAGCTCGCCGCAAAACCCGATGTAAAAGAGGAACATGCAAAAGTACCTGAGACTTTCCACAGGGAAGAAGAGAGCGGTTCTATCGCATGGATTTTCAGCCAAGCCGCAGCTCACCGTAACCACCAGATCCCAGTAGGCTCAGCGTGGGTTGAAAAATCATCCAGTCCTGGCTTAAGCCCCGCACTTTGACGCTCTGCGAAGCCCGCATACCCAAGTGATAATACACTGGCCGAGCCACAGTACCGCCAAAGATCGCCCCGAACAAAGTTACCTCAGGAATAGGATAGGAAGGTAGGAAGGTAGGAAGGTTCGAAGGTAGGATGCAACGGACCTCCGACGAAATTTTCATGGGATACAGAGGAGGGCGTCAGGAATCGTGGGCAGGAGCAGAGGAATCGGAACGCTCGGTAACGGAACAGTCATGTCCTTGAACACTGCCGGAGACCAAGGAGGGCAACCGTGAAGATGGTGACGAGTAAAAGGGCTCGGAAGGCGAGGATTGAGAAAAAGCGGGCCAGAAAGTCCAGTGCAACTAAGGCGCCGAGCCTATAGGCAGGAAGTGGCACAAGTCTGGGAAAGATTGGTTCTGTGTGGGGGCGACAGGCGACAGGCGTGGAGGTTGTGCAAAAACTGCGAAAAGGTGTCGGCATGGGCAGAAAGACTCCGGAGCAGTGCAGAAATTAAGAGAGAACGCGCCGAACGCAGCGTGAACCTCGGAAGTCGGGAACGCCATTTAACACTGCAATGCGACCATGTTGGAGGCAGACTGAGAATGAGGCCCTGGGGGCCTGGAGAAGGAAAACAAGAGGGTAAGCCTTCCAGAACCTGAGGGCCTGGCAAAAAGCCCAGAAGACAGGGAAGAAGGCAGGCGCAGACTTGCTATGGAGGCATGGACGGATGACCCTACATGGCAAGTAGGAAGACACCACACACAATGCAGCCCGGGTTGCGAAGGATGTGAAAAGGGAGCCGAAGGAATCATACACTGCATCCGCCTGAGCCGCAAGACTTCAAAACGACCATTCTGGAGCCGCTTTCTTGTGCAATCGGCATTTTCTCACAAGGCCCGTGCATCATCCCGCTCGGTGGTAATGTCAGCATTCACTTGATCAAAATAGGACACAGCAGCATTGCCGAAGATGATGCTAAATACGAACCTCAGTGGTGCGCGCGAACGCATGGAAGCATCAAAGCTGGCAGAAGGCAACAGTATTCATGCACACGACTGTCTGCGTTAACATTGGGCTTGATGTGTTCCAACAGCAGAATTTTGATTGCCCGAGCAGCATTATGAAGCAGATCATGACGAACGCCTAAGACGAAGTCTTCACGTTTTGGCAACATGCCGGACGGACACGAATGTCACAAGACATGAACCCACAAGCTGCGATCGAAGGTTCCCAAATCAGTGATCCCAGTGAGCTGATCATAGCAAATAGCATGGTCCTCCAGGCTTCGGTGTTGACAGAATTGAGGCGGGTTAGCATGTAGAGCGAAAGTCATGTGCAGTCGTCGGAAGCTACTGAAAACTACCTATTCCAAGAACTTTGCCTCAACGATCGGAGCCATTTCACCGTGCGGACGAGTCCTCAGCGGGTCGGGCACTGGCTTTCTGAATGCGGCAGGCGCCGTAACCGTGGCTCTTGCGCCCCTGTTTTCTATGTGGCTTAAATATACCTATATATAACTACAATATACCTATAATATAACTATAACATAACGATAGTATATACTATAACATATACTATATACTATATATACTATAATACGTACTATTATGTTTTTAGTATATGTGTGTATGTGTCGCTTCTCTTGTCATCCCTCGCTGAAGTCCTGGCTTTTTCCGGCAGCTCTGTGTTGTCCGCGTGAACTGCACTTACTGTGTTCGCTTACCACCAACTGTGTCTTTTGTCTCTGGTTGTCGGCTGCTTTGCTCCAAACCGCAACCACAAAACTCCAAACCCGGAAACCCTGAATCAAAAGACTTTCAAACAACCTCAAACAAGACCCCACGCCGCTCTGTGACGTCCGGGGCAATGCGCCTATGCCGAAGCCAGCGCCTGGTAAGATCCATTGACCACAGCAGCTTTGATGCACGGTGGTGCACCATGGTCACCGCCAAACCAAGTTTCCATGCCCACTATCTCAACCGAGTCCCAAAGTGGGCGCATATCTCTTCCGTGCTTCCGGGCGTGAAGCTCGTCGCAACTGGGGCGGGTGGCGTGCGCTCCCCGATGCGTCCGTTCCAACCTCCTGGCACTTGACCGACACTTGGGGGGAAGGGCATACTCCACCGACTCCACCATGCACCTTCAATGTGTTGCTGCGACCTGAAAATGCCGCCCTGCGAAGAGCAAAGTCAAGTCACACAGACTTTCCAGTGCTCAGCCAGAAGTAGCTGTGCCCCATGAAGGGGTCGGGACGTAGCACCTGAGACGCCTGAACCCTTACCCTAAAACCCCCTCCTTTGTAAAACCCTAACCCGAAGCCAAACACTCAAACACCCAAAACCCTGAGCCGTCTTCCGCCCCAAACCCCGAAGCCTACGCCTTCCCCAAACCCAAACCGAGCCCCGATCCGAAACCTCAAACACTACGCCCGCTACCTTAGACCAACAGGAAAGGAGTGATTAGCCGACACCAAAAAAATCTGAACTCTGGAGACAAGAAGTGATCCACCCAGAGAAAACATCGAACAGAAGACAGGAGCTGTTGATAGTCTGGTTGTGGCTGTGCTCCTCTTTGAAACAACTCCCCGAGCTTTCGAGCAGACCCTGTCGTGAGCCCTCACTGAAGCGACCCTGCAGCTGTCATGTTTGCGCACCCAAGGCCCAAAGTGCCAACCCAAAGCTAAGCTCCTGGCGAACGACCCGAACGAGTCGAAACACGCGGCAAATTCTGAGAAAGGACATGTTGGCGAACAAGTCCTTTGCGCAAGGTCAACCGTGGCTAGAACGGAAGCGGAGCAATTATAGGCTCAAGCAGGTGCAACCGAAGAACAGGAATGAGGAGCTCAAGCGCCGCGTTCGCTATTAAGAACAAGTCGAACATGTTCCAGTACCAGTTCTTGCCTGCTCACAGGGATCAACGACATCGCGGCAGTCATTTGCACGACTTCAGCTGCCACATTTGCATGGCCCTGCCTATGAAGAAACTCATGCGGAATGCAACCAAGTACAGGATGAGTTCCGCGCTGAACCAACAGAAGAAAGCATACTCCTTCATCGGCGACACATGTTGTTCCGAAAACTCACCGCTACCAGCACAACAGCAAGCCATGTTCGCGTCCAGGAACGTGGCAAATGGCCAACCCTTCTGCACCAAGACTCTACTATTGACTGATGCTTGTGGCAGCCTGGCCCCTGCATATCTCGAGCTCCGAGCAGGCGCTTGTCTAGAGTTTGGAAGCCACCCGGTCCCGGTTACCAACATGGCGCGCTACAAGTAAGGTTGGCTCGCCAGTGCAAACAAGAGGCAAAAGTGTTTGACATCTGGACTGCCGCTGCTCCGTTGATTCGGTTGTAGCTGTACTTGAGCTGCCTTTCAATGTGCTGAAAGGCTCCGAGGTTACGACCGTTACGACCGTTACCACCAGCGCCCAGAAGCACAGACACTGTCGACTTCAGTGCAGACAGGCTGCTGATCAGTGCGGATGCCGATGTAAAGGGCATTAGCGGCAATAGCAAGCGTGCTTACCTGAGCAAGGGCAGCGTCCGGAAGCAACCTGTGGTTGAAGAGAAGCTTTAGGCTGATTTTTTTGATTCCATTCTTGCACTGACATGCCAAGAAAGCAAGACTTGTGAAAAACGCCTTTCTCGCCGGCATGGCTCTGTTTTGAAGAGTACGCTGTTGACGATGATCTCTGAAGGCCTGCTCGTATCATAGTGGTCCTCCTGGGTAGCAGTTCCAACGATCTATCACGTCAGCGGCATTAGGAGGGATGAGCGACTACACCGGAATTAACAAGGCTGTGTTCACAGAACTTCATCGCCGAAAGCTGCTATCTGCTTCATTCTGCTTGAACATCCTTCCAACTCGGGGCTGCACGGCTTGATGCTACACCGCTGCAGCACGACCCCCGAGTCTGTAGAGATGAGAGGAGGGCGGAGCGAGAGAGAGCAAGTCTGAGTGGAAATCAGACACGTGGAACGACAGCTCGCCTCTTGACGAACCTGCAGGGCTTCACAAGCTTACAGACTGCCTGCACCTCACAAGTTGGCAGATCCGTGCATGCCAGGCATCCAATGAGCCACAGAGCGATAGCGTCTGCTTCCATTCGCCCTTATGGAAGAAAGTGTCGTCTGCCAGCCTGGTGTCGGTGACCAGCTGCAGACGATGCGACACCTGCCATACCAAGACACTCACTCAAGCTGTGCTCATACAGGACTCATACAGACTCCCCGGCCAGCGTGTCGAAGCGCATGCTCTTCGCATCCACATACTCGGGGTCGCTGATATCGTCTGGCTCGTCCTTCTCTTGCCCAAAACAAAGCGCTCACGATGTTGAGCACATCATGTTCAAATTTTGAGAACAAAAACTGCAACCTGCGATGCATTTGCGCTTCCGTCAAGCTTGCTGACCTTTGCAGAGTGATGTCCTCATCTACGTCCCGCAGCGTCTGGAAAGACGTCATACGAGAGGGTGCCACGCCGATGGCACGGAGGCTGCTGCTGCCGGGACTGCCTGCATGATGGCTCGGCAGGAAGTTTTTGCCGTCCCAGGCGCGGCTAGGAGCCTTCTGGAAGCCACGGGTGCGGGGACGAAGGCTCGGCTGGTACCGGAAGCACGCCTGGCCTTGGACACAGTCAGCACAACGCGACTTTGCAACACACTGTCTTGCTGTAACTGCACAGTAATCCGGCACGGGCAGCTATTTTCGTTTCTGGCTGCCTTTGTGGGCGCAGCCCTCCTGCTTGTCTTGTGGTCCGGCGGGCCTTTGGCTGGACTACAGAATCTGGATGTATCCGGGATCTGCCCACAAACAGCCACGGGTTCGCGACGTCTGCCCAGGGCGATGATGATCAGCTCTGTGACGACCATGCGGACACACGAACAGTCGCAATCATGCTAGGCTTTCCAACGATGGTCACACGAGAGACATGTCACCGAGGTCCAACTGTGCTCCCCATTCACGCAAGATGTTGGCGTCACCATGATATAAGTGCACCTCTTTCCCCCGCAGCGCTCGCACGTGTATGCATCCGTCACTCTCTCCTCTGGCACCTTCACCGCGGATTCCTGCAAAGATTGCTGGCGCATCTCCGCCCGCAGCGCCGCCTTGGAGTCACTGGCCATCTCTTGCGTGTTCATGTGCGGGAGTGCGCGTGGGTCTAGACTTCCGCCCAACAGTCTCTGCCGGAACGAGTCGTTGGCCGCGTCCTTCGAACTCAAACTGTGCGTAAGGTACATCGGGTTCTCATGATTTCATGTTTGAGATCTGTTGATTCTGTTGTGTCCAGGAAAACCTGTGTCTGGACTAAGGTTTTTTCATGAGGCAGAACTGGACACTAATCGAATTCTTCGTGGTTCGCAGCACTGAAACACGCCCCTCGGCAAGGAAGCGGCAACGACGAGCGAATAAGCCATCTGCTGCATTCTGCTGCCACCGCCATGGCGACGGGAGCCACTTCAAGTCGAGCCGGGCATGTTGCCTGTGCGGTTTTTCTACCATGTCAATGGTGGGGGAAGGCACACACAAATAGCCACGAAGGTGATGCTCGACGAAGGCGATAGTGGGCGGAAGTGTGCACAGCAATGGTGGGGGGGAGGGCGGGGAGGATCAAAGGCTTACCTCCGAAAGGCGGACGTCCTGCCGAAGTGCTGCGGTGGCTTGCCGTTCACACGAGTTCCTGCACAGACCTCTGAACTGAACAACATACTATTGACTTCGATGTAATGTGTGGGCCCGGACCAGGGGAAGCTCAGTTGCTGTCGTTCACAATTTAATAAATAGGCAGCAGGAACATGCACAATGCGAAAAGGAGCACAACTACCTCCGAACTCCAAGAACTGCAAAGCGACGCAGCCGCCTGCGGGTTCCTTCCTTACAGGACCTCAACCGGAATGCGAGAAACTCGGGGAAAAGACGGTCCAAACAAGTGGATCCTTGAGGTTGAAGACGATGGCCCGTGACTGATTGATGTAGGCTTTGTCCGAGCCTTCGAGCTGCGCATGCAGCTCTTCTTCGATTGCCACCGCCAGGGCATGAGTCTTGGCCGGATTCTTCTGTCCAGTCAGTGCTGCCTCGAGCATCTGCAGAACCTTCTGCCTTTGCCCACTCTTTGGTGCACAAGCCAGATTGACCGCTTCAGGTGTCTCAGGCACCGTTTTCGCCTGTTTCAGAGCCGTCTCCGCTGGAAGAGGATCCCTGGTGCGCTTGCGATGCATCTCCTTCCAGTCCGCGAGCAATGCCTTCGCTGCCTTGCGGACCTCTTCATTCATTTCGACATCCTTGCCCACATGATTCACAGCAACTCCGATTTTGGTCTCTTGCAGGACCTGGGTGGGCAGTGATCCGTACTTGCGAAGCTCGTCCAGTGCGCGACGGAGCTCTGCCGGAGAGCTCGACTTCTCTTCCAGCACCCGCTTCCACTGCTGAACTGAGCTCGTTAAGCTCGTTAAGCAGCTCAGATCAGTAGCCATGGGATGCCATTCGGGATACGCGACGGGGCCTCTCTGATTGAAGACGCCATGGCCAAGGAAAAACAGCCGTCAGGCTCAGGATGTTAAAACTAATCAAATCACTGTGTGACTCTACACTAGCAGAGCTGCAAAGTACCCATGATAAATACTCCCGGGCATTTGCACTCATATCTGAGCCGCACAAGGCATCTTACCATGCTTGCGCGCTGCAGGATCTCCAAAGCTCCGAGGCATCGGCAGCGGCAACTCATCATCGCCTGAGCTTCAGGATGCGCAGGGACTGCACAAGCCAAGATCCGAAGGCAGCAGCCTGGCTCGAGATTCTTGATTCAACTTGCTGATCTGTGATATTCGCACCAAGAAGCTTTCAGGCCGCAGAAAGACATCTTTTGGAGCTTTGGGCTTCACCACCTCGAGAGAAGACTCCAGAAACAGTTTCAAGCAGAGTGCTGCGCAGTGCCTGAGATCTGGCCTCGGCAACTTCGGGTGTTGCGACTGCGTTCACCTCTTGACCCTGCGAGGACAGCAGCTGTTTGCAGGCGAAGTCAAAAATCATCTGTCTCTCTTTCATTCTGTGTACTCTGTGCTTGCACAGTGCATGCGGGCACAGTGACCACATTTGGCAATGCACTGCGAACTGGAAATGCGCCGGTTGTGCGCGAAATGTGCCGATTGCGCCGTTGGCGCTGGAACTGCGCCACTCGAGCTGATTGCGCCGATTGCACTGAGCTAATCCCCTGCAGGCCCGCTGCAGCCCCAGCATCCCACGGACGGACGGGGCGCACCCGACCTTCAAATCGGAACTCTTCAAAACCTCGCACTCCGAAGATGGAGTCTTGGACTGATGGGGCGCATGCAAGGACTGATAGGGCAAGCCAGAATTACCAAACAAGGATTATAATGGAGGCACGCCGGATGTACAAACATCGACTTTCGGCTGTCTTTGTGTCTATCGAGTTTGTCTGGTTGTCGGCGTTTTACGGGTTTATCGGGTTTAGCGGGTTTCCGGCTTTAGCAGGCTTTGCGGGTTTGTAGCAATGCATCGTTCTCTCGCCATGGGGCCGGCATGTGGAAGCTAGGCAACCTGACAGCTTGCTCCCTCCTTCCTGCACTCTGTTTCTCTCTCTGGCTATTGCTCTCTTTGTCTTGACCCTTCCACTGCAGCCTCGAAATCCTGCCGCTGAGGCAGTGCCTGCTCGATATCGGACAGTTTCAAACGCCTGGCAAAGCGCACATGTCCAAGCAGCCCCCCACCAAAAGCAGATTCTTGCTTGTCTCGAGCTGAGCCACATAGAAGCATTCTCCATTTCCAGGGACTGGTTCAGCGCATGCAGCTGCTTGCAATGGTACCTCCAGGAGCAACATCATCCGACTCGCACAAAGTGCACAGAAGGAGGTACGATTGCTTAGATTGCGAAAGAACAGTTGCTGTCATGTCGCGAAAGCTCCTCCAATCTGTTGCTGACGGCATCCTAGGCAAGGAAACTAGCCAGTTCTTCACGGGTGGTTGTTGCCCAAGTTGCCAGCATCCAGAAGAGCGTACCTCTACCTGCTCAGTACTGTAAATCCTTCAGACAAGTCTCCAGGCAATTACCGAGCACGCTCGGCAGCGGCATGTCCGAGCTAACAAGTGCCAATGCTTGCAGAGATGTGCTGCTCTGGGAGGTATAAAGCCACTATGGGCACTGCGAGGGACTCGTCTGATGATCAGTCGAGGTGACGAGGAGCTTGTCCAGCTCATGTGTTATCGGCCTCTTGCGCCCTACATGACTACGTTGCCACTACGCTGAGCCGAAGCGGCCACACCGCGATCAGCTATGACAGAAGCAAAGCTTGCATGCTACCCATGCTCGCTTGTGTGACTGGAGACTGGCCTTCTTTGGGCTGCAAAGATTTTAGTAGCTCGTCCACGTCTTGGTCCCTGGCACAAACAGTGATCGGAGCTACATGGGGCCGCTCTCTCTAGAGTCTAGAGCGCCTGCAAGGGCCAACTCCAGGACCGTCTTCGATAAGTCGCATCAGATCGTCAATCGTGGAGTCCTCGAAAAAAGCCCGAGAAAACGCAAGGGCTACGCTTGTGTTCATCCCTCTCCTCATCTTGGGGTGCAGCGCTTGCTCCGGCCGCATCCTGACTAGAGCGGCCCGCCTGGTCATGGCTCGACGGGGCGACCGATCACTCAGCCTCTGTGAGTCTTCGCCTGTACCGAGGAGCTGCTGCTTGCACCTGCAACGCACAGAAGGCACAAAAGACGAAAGCAGATGCACAGAGGCAGCCACAACCCCGACGTGGGCCTAGAGGAAGAAGCTGTAGAAAATCCATGGCCATGGCGCCCCCGCAAGCTGACAGAAGCAAGGACTTGCACAGGCTTGCGGAGGCTTAGGGCTGAAGTCTGGTTCCTCTCATTGAATTCGTCTTGTGACTACAGGCTTACCTGCCAAGTCTGAACCTCGCATCTTCCGGACAAACAAACATCCTTCTTCTCTGCAGTGCCGAGAGACGTTTCCCTGGAAAATTTGGCGCGCGGGTTCTGCAAGTTCTGTATGCTTTTTGAGGGTCTTGGCAGGAGCCCAACACACTCAACCCTGGGCGCACACTGTTGGACCAGTCGCCCAATGGTGTGGAAGGGACCTGCCCCCTGGCAGGGACCCTTCCCACATGACACTGTCCCGTCAAGGGAAAACAAACCCGCCGCATGGGGCCGCAAACAAAAGGGCGGGAGGGTGGGAACAAGCAGCAACAGCTTTTTGTATCAGCTGCAATCAGCTGTAGCGGCACAAGCAAAGTGGAACGAGAATGCGAGCAACTGCTCTCCAAACAAACAAGATTCTTGCGCAAGGTTCGGGAGTGCTCGGTGCATGCGCTAGAGGGGAATCGGGCAGCCTAGCGCAAGCAAACCGCACAACCCTAGGCGCACACGTTTGGACCAGTCGCACACTGGTGTGGTAGGGACCTGCAGGGACCCTTTACACATGACACTGCCCAAACCGAAGTGTGCGACAGGTCCACGCAGATGCCGGGCACAAGTCCTCTAACCCCAAACCCTATCGGGTGACCGGCAGCTCATTTTGCCGCATGGCAACAGAAGGCTCAAGAGTCCCATGGAGCCAGCAGATTCTCACCAACATCTGGCTATGCGACCACGGCTAAGCACGTCCGCAGCACAGTTGCTCTCGCCCACAATGTAACAGACCTGGAGTTGAAACCGGCAGCGACAGGCCCAGTACCCCAGTGCCTGCGATGTGAAACAGAGGGGTTCCTTCGACAGCATCTTCACCGAGCACGCACTCACTGCCTGGTTGTCGCAGAGTTGCGCAAACTGCGCTAGGCAGAACACTTCGGGGAGGAACCCGGACTCGCGCACACGCAAAGTGAGCAACACGAGATGGGCAAGAGGCTCGAAGGCTGCAATGCAACCCTGGAGAACCGGAGCCGCCTTCACATCGAGACCAAGCAGGCAGGTCCGATGCAGCTTCTACTCGCTTCTCCATAAGCCGCTGACGACGTGCCGTCTTGTGAACCTCGAGCAGTTTAGTGAAGTGCTGGTAGTTGTCGGTGGCACTGTGTCATGCTGTGACATCCTGGACTGATGGAAGCTCCACTCGGTCAACAACACGGTGGTTGGCTCTCTTGACGCTCATGCCTTGCAGTGCCCGCCGAATTCTGACTGCACCTTTGCTGCAAAGCTGTTCCTACAGTCACTTTCAGAGCAGGTTCATATTCCCCTTATCGTTGCGCCGGCTTGCCCGACTTTGTGTTCGGCGGATCTTGTTGCAGCAGCTGCTTGGTTAGCGCAGGATCCTCCGATCCGCCGCACCACGGCTCCAGATGCACAAGAAGCTCTTCTGGCAGACTCGTCTCGGCTGCTTCCACGGGGTCCCAAACTCCCGAAGTCGAGATGTTCACTCAGAATAGAAGAAAGCGAAGAGTCGATGTCGCCTGTTAGCTTGCCAATAGCATTCCACACTTCCAGAAGCAAAGGCTGGAACCCAGCAACTGAAGCGGAGCAGTGAAATCCCTTTGCACACGCAAATTCAACCAGGCAGTTCCGAAGCGTCTTGAGCTCCTTTGGTGAGGACAAGCAGTCGGCACAACCCTTGTCTAGCCAAGACCTAAGACGGCCCACCAAACCCCAACGAACCAAAGCGACTCGAATCTACACATCCAAGAGGTAGGCAAAACTTGGCCAAGGTTGAAGCCAATTCCGAGCGCTGATGAGCTTCTCTTTCGCGCAGACAAGAATTGCCAGTGTTAGCACCAGGGAACCCCGCGGGATCTGCGTGGCCATCGGCCCCTTGCCGCCGCTGCTTGGATATTTCTTTGAAGTGACAAGCGTAACTGCTTCAACGCCGACTACCTGAGAAGAAGGAGAAGAAGGTGCAGGGGCAGACTTGCGGACGGGGCAAGCCTTGCCCAAACCCAGGCCATCTAAGTCGTAGGGCGAAGGGATGACCCGGCGCCGGGGACGCTGCACAGCCCGGCAAGGAAGAAGGCACAGAACAAAACAACAACAATCAGCGACAGCTGTTTGTATCAGCTGCAATCAGCTGTAGCGGCACAAGCAAAGTGGAACGAGAATGCGAGCAACTGCAATCCAAGCAAACAAGATTCTTGCGCAGGGGTCGGGAGTGTTCGGTGCATGCGCTGGAGGGGGATCGGGCAGCCCAGCGCAAGCAAACCCTAAGGCTTCAACAGTCATGGGTAACTCTTGAAAATGACTTGGCAGCTTCTGGAAACCTGGCCACAACAGCCTCAGATGTAGATTCAACAACGAACAACAGCACAGCAAACTTCGACAACAGCAACGCTACTACTAGCATGGCATCTTCCGTTCCGAACTCACGTGCCTTCGCCATGAAAAACCAACACATGCATGACACTGGCTACATCCGCCAGGACACAAAGCAGATGAACGGCACAGAGTGGATAATTGTTTCTTCCGCCCAGGCACTGTGCCGGCTCGGACTTTGCCGAGCTTACTTGGCCTCAGATGCCGGAGCTGGAGGGCTGATGGGCGGGCCGACCTGAGATGCATGCAGGAGGGACAAGTTCAGCGAGAGACCTAGATCCAACATTCAAGACAGAGGGTGGCGGAGAGTGGACTTTTTATTAGTCTGATTACGTGGGCAACAAAGTACCTGGAAGTGATCTAGGTTCAGCTCACTCACTCAATTGACTCATGACTCATGCTACAACAGCTGATTGAGTAAAACATGCAAAAGCAGGAAGACTCAGCCTGCGACAGCAGAATGCGGTGAACTTCCCGTGAGGAGGCCCATGACACCTACCTCGGGAGCAGCAGCCGCCACATGTTAAAGCTTGTGCAAACAAATGCAGAGGCCGCAGCCCCCAGCTCCAAAGTGATCAAGATGATTATCATCCTGCAGAATACTGCAGACTGTCTCGAACTAACCCCAGCGAGCATCATCTGCATACTATCTCTTCTGCCCGGTCCTCTCGAGACGCACCGAATACAAATGCCTGGACATGGAGAGGAGCAATAAATGCCAAAGATCTAGAATGCCATTGCGGACTCCCGACCGCAAGACAACCGAACGTTGCTGCTTTTGCAACTGCCTCACGTGTTCACCCAGGGTGTGCAAGAAGTCCAGGGAGTAGCTCAAACGCTCCTCCAGACATCAAGCCGGCCCGACTAACCAACACAAAGCGCTGTGCTGCATATTGCTTGCCGAGGATCGTTCAGAAGGTCTGTGCGCCGCTTCACATCAAAATGCCTGACGACCTCGACCGCACAGTTCACATTTCTTGCAATGCTACTTTGGTGATCCTCCCACCTGGTCATGGAGACGCTCTTCATTGGGATTTTCCCATAACAAATCCTTGGTGTAACAACCGGCGGACAACGTGAAAATGGTGGACCAGAGCAGCACAGGCACAGGTGAATCAAGGAATCTTCCTGCAGCATTCAACTCGTACCTCATTTCGTGGATCATACGCTCGTACCTGACAGTGGCTGGAGACCGCATGCTCTGTCCCGACCTGTTGCATTCAAGCTGTGTAACATCGTGGCTAAAGCTGCCACGATGCCTGAAAACCCGGTTAGAGATGTCCTTCAGAGTCCTGAGCATGGCAGGCCATCCACGCACAGTCGCTCGCTTCTTCCTTCCGTAATGCCCGTGATCTGCTCCCTAAGGGCAAGCATCACTGACATTGCAAATCGCTCTTCGACACTGGCCACTTCTTTCTCGAGGGCCTGGCAAAGCTTGTATTTTTGCACTCGCACCAGCACATGGATGCTGATCCACGAGCCTGCCAGCCCTTCACAGTTTGCTCCTCGATCTTTGCTTCCAGCTGATCCAGTCCTAATGCAAGATCGATGCTGGCCAGGCGATACGACATGATTGAGGATGACAGTCCCACCACCACTGTGCAGGAAGGCGTCGCACTGCGATGTCCAGGCCCAAAGAGATGGCGATTAGCTCCAGCTGTGCCTCCAGGCAAGATCGAAAACTGGCGAGCTTACAGCTCACGGCCTAGGTGCATAAAACTGGCTCTTAGCGACCATGCACGAATTTGGCCTGCTGCAGAGCCCCTTTTTCTCCAGAGGGATCCGTTGCAACTCGTGCAACGTGTAGCTGCCCGGTGTTCTTGTCCAGACGGGTCTCCTTTCCTGCAGGACAAAGTCTTGGAGCTATGTCCAAGTGCCTCAATCTATCTTGCGCGGGAAGCAATAAGACAATAAGATGCTGACTTTGAGTGGGGCCGTCCAATGACGCCGTAAATCCCAAGAAAACAACAGCGACCCAACCTAGCCAAACTCTGAAATGCTGCTAGTTCGCCCGCGGCTTCATAGACGAAGTCCAAGCTCTCGGAGGCGAGGGGCTCGCTGCTCTGGGTCGATGGAATCGCACAAAAAACTCTGCAAAAATGCGTACAACGCAACAGTGGCAGCACACTGCTCCTTTACGACTTTGCGTCCCACCCAGCTGCGGCACTTAATCCGAACTAGAACTGCTTAACCTAACAGGCTCCACGCAGGCTAGCTGTTCCCAGCCTCTGCTGGTAGATAGTCACCTTCCAGCACTTTCTGCACAGCACCTTGAAAAGGTAGGCAGCTTAGGTCGGTCGAGACTTTGGCAATCTCGAAGCCCTGACACACTCTCAGCCGCACTGGGTCACCAACCTATCGTCGTGGGACCATGTCGATTTGCTGGGCAGGAAGCAGCGAGCTGGAGCATCCGCTGCCTGCACATAATCAACTACGCAGCATATAGGGCCCATCAATCTGCCCCTCTGGTGCTAGCTTTCCACACAGAATGTTGCCAGCGCCCCTTGTTGCCGGCTGCTGACTGAGAGATGGCAGTCTGCGACAAGGCACCGCAAGTCCTCTTCGGTATCCCAGAGAACGAGACATCCATTTGGTAAGACCTCACTTCAAGGCCCAAGGCAAGACACATGTGCAAACACACGGTACACATCCAGGCTCTGAAGTATTGAACGAGATGCCACCACATTACCTGCAGAATCACTGTTGCAGATCAATACCTCGAAAGCATTCTGGGCAGGACTCGGAGACACTTCGCCCTGCGTTAGACTTCTTACTGGCACCCTTCTCCATTTGTGCCTGCGCCAGCGGGCTTGCCTTTGGACCAGCCATGTGCCAGAGTCCTTAGGTGCCGATCGCAATGCTGAGCTGAGTAGTTCATGGGAGGGAGAGGGAGAGGGAGAGGCAGAGGGAGGAAAACACTCGTGGGAATATGCACAAGGGAATCAAGCTGCAACGAAAGAAAGCCCTATCAAACAGGCGAGGCGCTGCAAGAATACGCTGGGCCTTTTAGTTGCGAAACCTGCTGCCCAAGTACCGTCAGGTTGATCCTCAGTCACCAGCCGGCAACTGTTCCCGAATGCCATTTTGATACATTCGCCGTGGTGGGGCCGCGGCGATCGGCGCAAAAGATGTGCCCAGACCTGCTTCAGGTCCTCCTGCGGCGTAGCACTGCTCTTTCTGCGTTCAGAAGAATCACCCCAAACGTACGACGTACACTTGGCTCATATGGCTCAGATGGCTCAGCAAAAGCGCCTTATCCTCGACTCGGCTACCGTTCCCACGGCTCGCAGCGTTCGCCAGCCGCAGGACACCGCCTGCTCACAAGCGAAGAGCGATCAGAAGCCACAGAGGTTCGACCGCGAGCGCGCCTGTCCGAGGGAAGGATCGGCCAGCCAGCCTAGCTTGCACACACTTCGCAGTCTTTGGCTCGGTCGCAGCCCTCATCACAACAAGCAGTAGTCGTAGTAGTAGGAGGAGTAGTAGTGAAAGTAGCAGTAGCAGTAGCAGAAGTAGCAGTAGCAGTAGTAGTAGTAGTAGTCGTCGTCGTCGTCGTGGTGGTGGTGGTAGTAGTAGTCGTCGTCGTCGTCGTTAGCAGTAGTCGTCGTAGTCGTAGTCGTGGTCGTGGTCGTAGTCGTGGTCGTCGTCGTAGTCACTAGTAGCTGCAGCAGGAGCAGTAGCAGCCACAGTTTTAGAAACAGCACTACTATTATAAGCAAAATACAGCAACCATGGCTCACGCGTTCTACCCTACAGTCTGTTGCAGGAGCAGTGCCGACGACCGCCATGTCAGCTTCTACACCCCTCGAAACACAGCTAGGACATGATAGAGGTGTGGTCGGCTGGTGTTGTCGAATGATGGCAAACTCTGAGACCCCTCTTTGGCAGATCAATGGCCTGCAGCAGCCCAGCCTGCCAAGCCGTCCTGCACGGAACCACAACAGATGCGAGAACTCCAGTCACTAAAGACAGCTCCAAGTCTCTTGTACCAGGATCTTTCAGCTGTCACAGCCCTGACTAGCGAGAGAGAGCAAACACTGATTGAGAGCTTCTTCGCGTTGACTGGACACTAGTTGGTGGCGCGCTGGCCAGGACCCTGGTGTTAACCTCCACTTTTCGACCTTTTCCGGTGTTTTTTGTTTTTGGGGGGAGGGCGGGGGGGGTCAGTAGCGACACACAGAACTGCACCCCTCGTCTGTAGTGCCTGGCTCCAACAAGCTAAGCACCGCCATGCATCCCTTCGCGTGCCTGGCAATCCTTGAAAGCCTTCATGCCCAAATCATTGCACAAGCGCTTGCGTTCCGGAATAAACCCTGAATTGCGTAAACGGACTTTTCAATGATGCTATCGGCAAAACCATGTACAGGGCAAGCTTCCTAAAGTCTTGTTGAACCAGGTATTGAAAATCAGACCCTGGCACAAGTGACCTGAGCAACCTGCACAATCGAAGCTCGGACCGAAAGAAATGTTCTGCTGTAGTCAGTCCACCGGTGTTGTGGAATCTGTGATGTACCTAACATATAGATATACATAAACACTTATTTAATTATATATATATATATACTAATGTATATATTTATGTTTATACTTATATTTGAATCTGTATTTATATGTATATATTGTATACTGATGCATATATATATATCTCTCTCTCTCTCTCTCTTTCTTTCGGAAGGGATGAAGGCCAAGGGGGGAGACCCCCCTAGCCCGCGCGCCTGTCGGCGCCCCCAACCGGTGTGGAGGCGAAAAAGGGCAAATCGCTGGCTCAACTAAGGCAGTATTTGCCCACGTTGGCTCTTCAAAGCGAAAATCCAGGAGGCAAACTGGCTGAACGGAAGAGGGAATTAAACCCGGGTCAGTGAGAGGGGGATGATGTTTGCTCCCCTGGTTTCTCCCCAACTTTAGCAGCTCAGTGCGGTAAAAGATTGCTAACCAGAAAGACAATTCCAAGGGTGCAATCGGGAATCGTTAGCCATAATTGTGCTGCCGTCCAGGTCAGGGATAAAAGCTGGGCTCGCCGGTGCTGAATGAATCATGCCTACCAAGAAAAAGGTGTAGACCAAGGTAAACGGAAGCTAACTGCAAAATGAAATTCGCACCTTCTCAGAGCCTTGCTATTGTTACAACTGATGTGCCCCCGTAATGGAAACCAAACCTGGGAAAAGGACACCAAAGGGAACCCCAGCCCTCGCCAGAACCTACTGAAGACAAACGAACCTGAATTTCCAAAACGGCGGTGACATCCAAAAGCTTCCTGTGCCCCTCTGTATGGGGAACAAAAGTGGGTGGAGGGGGAGTTGCCCCTACAGCTCAATCACGGTGGCTCGCGAGGAAAGCACGAAAGATGAAAGACTCGCATAAGAGAGTGAATCACTGCCGTGACTGATTGGGGTACTCGTTCCCCATCTAGACTTGTGTGCACTACGGGCCCTCACTTCAGCTTTTCTCAGATTCGCTCTCACTGGTCCCTTCCAGAGCAGCTTGTAATCGGCGTCGACGGTGAGATGACGCTCTTTCCAGCATTCTGCGCCGGGGGGCTTCCCCCGGAGACATCGCATGGAAGGGGACGGTCTCCATTTGGCTGACTGAGGGTTCCTCCCCTGTTTCTGCTTCCATCTGTGTGGCGAACATGTCCTCGCGGGATGCCTCCATGCTTTCGTGGGAGTCCACGAGCTGAATCGAGTGCCCCCACAGAGCTTGGGTCCATTGCTCAAGGTGGGCATGCGCTTCAGCTAGCTGTGCTGCTACCTCATGTTCTGCAAAAGGTAGTAGTCGTCGGATGATGTCTTGTGCTTTGACCACCGAGTAGGGAGTCGCCTCCCCTCGGTGTCTTTGGCTTGTTCCGGTAGTACTCGTCGTTCCGGGTCGTGTTCGCGGTGGAGTCGGCGTGGAAGAGGTAGTCGGGGGGGATCTCCGTCAGTTCCCCTGTTCACCTCCGTGTAGGTCACGTTGTAGCTTGGTCTGTGGTTGCTTCCCGTGGCTCTCTCATCGGTGCTAAGTCGTTTTGTTCGCGGCAGGGCTATTCCCCCGGTCACTTCTTTTTTTGCCCAGTCGACAAACTTTTGCACGTAGCCGACACTCCTTCTGAGGGCTTGTAGCGCCATACGAAGAGTCTCACCAGTCTGGTAGACACCACCCTCCTCGATGGCTAGATGACTCCATTGAAGGGAATCGAGGGAGTTCTTGAGTCCTGCAACTCCTTCGTGTACACCTGGAGCCTCGGGCTCCCTTTCCCATGTTCGTAGGGTGTCCTTGGCCCCTTCCAGGGTATCTTGGATATAGGCGAGCTCCTTGTAGGCTACTCTTCGGGGTAATTCCCCGTGTTGTTGCACCAGGTGTTCCAGCGCTGCGACTGCTTCGAGGAGTGGCGTCATCATGGCTAACTCAAAGGCAAAAGGATCAGCGTCTTCTACTGCTTCTCCTCCTGGGTGTCGTCTGGCTCGGCATACTCGTGCATCATTCTCGGCAAACTTTTGCAGTTGGTGAACGTAGTAACACGCCCTGTACGCCAATGTTGTCACCGCTTCGCTTGGCTGGGCGAACGATTTCTGTAAAAGCTCATGCAGGACCTTTGCCAGGACTTGCGTGGTCTCTGCTGCCGTTCTGGGTGGCTGGGGCGGTGCCCAGGTTTGATCTTCTCCTGCATCCTTGTCCAGCTCACTTGCATGTACATCTCTCGTTGGTGTAGTACTTGGGGGTGCTTGTTCTGGTTGTTCAGGACGTTTTTGCATGAGAGAGGTAGCATCCATCGGCTGGTGGGAGAGCTCTTCGTCGTCATCCATCTGGTCTGGGGGGTCTTCGCTCGGCCAGCTGGTCTCCGATTCCGATCCCGAACTCGGTTTTGGCGGTGGTGGAGGTTTGGTCTTAGGCAATACTTTCACAGATGCCTTCGGAGGTCGACTGCTTTCTCCTTGCTCAGGCTTGTCAGGATGCTGGCGTGGCTGTTGCGATGGCCGCTCAGGGGCTTGCTGACCAGTGGTTTTAGGAGGAGGTAGTACATGAGGTTGTTGGCTTGGATGTTCTCGTTGACGGTCTTGTGGTGGGTGCTGTTGGGATCTTGTCGACGATGCTGCTCGCTCTCTCTCTCTCTCTCTCTCTCTCTCTCTCTCTCTCTCTCTCTCTACACATACATACATACATACATACATACATACATACACATATATATATATATAAGTACGTACGTACGTACGTACGTACGTACGTACGTACGTACGTACGTATGTATGTATGTATGTATGTACTTATATACATACATATACATACATATACATACATATACATACACATACACATACACATACACATACACATACACATACACATACACATACACATATACATATTCATATACATATACATATACATATATACCTATACATATCTTCTATATATATCCTAATATAAGGATACATGTATGAGAACCATGCCCCAAACCTTAAGACTGACAAGTCTGTGCCTTGGCTGCAACTTTAGAGTTGCATTCGTTAATAGTTTTTAGGGTTTCGTAAAACCCTACTTTTTGCTAGAAATGAGGTTTTTACCTAGGAAATAAGCACATTCGCGCGCCACGACGTAGCCAGGGTCCTCACATGCGCGTGACCTAGTTTGTACAGCATGCCGATTACACGGGTGCGAGTCTGACGGTGATATGCCAATGTTGCCTATATAGATTCAAGTGCTTGGTCCTGGAGGTCGCAGCATCCCATGGGGGCTTCTGCTAGGATTCTACAGCCATGGCAGGAGCATGCTCCGCGACGCGGCTTTCCAATTGCCATGGTAGTCGGAAAGCCACACGGAATGTTACTTGTAGTAATTGTTCAATCTTTGGACGGAGTGCTGAAGTCTGCAAGGGCACTGCGCCTGCTCTTGCGCAGTGTCCAGCTTTTTGAGAGTAAGCATGGGAAGAGCTGGGAGGGGTAATGTGATGACTCATCGAAGGATTGCCGACAGACGCCTGCGAAAGAACGGTGCTCAGGAAGGAAACCAAGTTTTCACACTGCCACTGCTTTGAAGCGCTGTAGCTTTTTCCCCCCACGCATCCCCTGCCTCGTGCTCGTGATACACCTGTGCTACACAGGCACAGCTTGGAACTGAAAGCCGTCTGCAGAGCAAAGCACGGGCCAGGCATGGCCAGGCGGCCAGGCACTGCATCCAGCTGCCAAGCACCCCAAGCGCATGTCCGAAGCATGGCCACAGTGGCCACTGGACAAGCGCTTCTCAAACGAAAGCCAGTTCCGCGAGCGCGTGCTGGCCACGCAGGCCACGCAACTGTACAAGACTCAAACTGGTCTCCGTGCACTAGCGAACTCACTGACCGACCTGCTTAACCATGTAGTGCAAGCTGCAGTCTTCGTTGTAGGACTCCAGGCGGCGATCTCGCCACTCCTTTTGGTCGGTGTCCTGGACTGGACCATATATATTTGTTGACACCTGCATTGACTGTCGATCTTGGAGAGTTACACGGTTTTTGCTGTGCTTGAGCTTAGCACGCGCTCAAGGTTCGGGGGCGATCCGATTTTTGCCTTTCCGCCAGTACAAAAATCCACTGCCGCGTGCAAGCAGGGCAACGTGGAAGATGTGCCCAATTCGCAACAGGAGAGAACTTACATGGAAACCTTCCAGGCCCGTGCGAAGTCCTGGAATCCCCAGTTCTGATGCGCAGCCAAGGCCGGCAATGCTCTGCCATTGAAGGCGCGGCCATCTCAAGTGAATGGGCAAGCAACCCAAAATCAGTGCAACACGTGGTCCAACCCAACACATGCAGCTCAGTTCAGTCGCTGCCCTTGACTTCATGATATGTGCAAGCTTTGACCCTCCCCAGCCTTGGTTCAGGTCGCACGCACTGAAAAGCTCGCTGTGGCCAAGCAGTAGCGCCACCTGACGCATTGCCACGCCAAGGGTATCCCATCATGTCGCATCACAGAAAGCGCGGCCTCCTCGGCCGCTAAAATGAGGTAGTATGCCTCAAAGACTCCCTACCGCAACACCACTCACTTCCAAGACCTTGCAAGACGGTGGCCTTAGCTCCACAGTCCGGCAGTCGAGCAATGTACTCCAGCACCACCCCGCCCTGATCGGCACCAGTCCACTGAAGGCCCTTCATTGCGCACTGATTTCTTCTCCAAGGCCTTGCCTGCAGCTGCCGCGGACCAGCTGCGGTGTAACGCTGCCAGGAGAGGATTGCTACTGCCACCTCGGAGAAAACGACCCCTGCGCAGGTGAACATAGACTAATCAAGACTCACTGGAGCCAGGATGAGCCAGGGTGCCATCTGGCCAGGCTCAGCAGCAGACTCGGATTCCTGGTAGCAAGATGAAACCCTTAATTTGACGATGTGCCAACCCGGATCGTCCTGCCAAAGAAGCCAAACTTTGGACGGCTCCAACTTGGAAGCGCCTGACAACGAAACACTGCCAAAAAAAGCGAGAGTTCGTCCGATCGTCCATCCGTCTATTTGTGCTGTCCGGCACTCCCTGTGTCTATGCCTGAATGATGCTGCGATTGCACAAATTGCTTGGTAATGCCACCCTGGGTACTTTTGTCGGCAGGTCCCGTCTCAATTCAAAAGGTGCTCGCCATGCTCATTGTAATTATTCGCAATTATCCACGCTCCCGGACACCATCTCTGCATGATTGACAGTCGGCATGACAGTATAAAGCTCGCACCTGCACGTTGATCGATAACTTGCGACATGATTGAATTGCGGGCTATAGTACTGTACCCTTCATCCTGGTTTATCCTGCAAGTCCAGCGCCTTGGCGACGCTTGCGACGGAGACCAAGCAGCAACGAAATGGTCTTTGCTGCCGCCTGAAGCCGTGCAAGAGTCCACGCTAGCTTGGAAAGAGATGCTTTCGCCGCTGCATATACTTTGCGGCAGTTTCGAGTCCACTTAGGTGCACCAACTTTCGAGGATCATCGCAGCTCCAAAACGCTTGCATGACCCGAGAATGTGAATGTTACAAGCCGCCAAACACACCGAACTCTCGAGGCCCGAGGCCGGCCTCGTCCTCAAAAGCCGTCGCGAGAAGGTGCTCCGCCTCTGCTAATGCTCTTCGTCTCTCATCGAGAGATATGGGAACTCTAAAGCTCTCTCGCGCTTTGCAGCGGAAGGTGGGGCCTCTAAGAGCCGCTGCCGACCGGCAATCGCGATGGGTGCAGCAAAGACCCGCGGCGCCGCTGCGCAGAGCGTCGTACCCGGGCGCCAAAGGTCCCAGAAGCCAAGCGGCAACAGGCGAGGCCTCCACACTTTAAGCACAAGGACGTGGGAGAGTTATCGCTACGACGAGCACAAAGTAGCGGTGGCGCCTGCTCTCACGTGAGATGCACGGCCTGCCCATTCGAGTCAGCATCCCTGGAACGCCGGCACACGAGACGAGCGCTGTCTTCTTATCCTTCCGGCCACAGTGCTCGCCGATCATACAGCACGTGAACTTCTCTTCTCGCCAGTGGTCGAACAGGAGCTGATCCACCACGTACCACCGCGGGCATACGTCACAGCCAATGTGCAGCACCTTTGGAGTCGCTGCATCGGAGCTCTCCGACGGAGGAGCGTCCTGCAGAAGAGGAGAGTGTTGAAAGTAGACATGCATGGAACTTGATTAGAACGAGCTCGCGGCGACCCACGGCATTCGCACCAGCATTGACTCTTTGCCAGGCTACGGTTGTTTCCATGGCATCGTCCATGAAATCAGCTGGAGGGCTGGAAAGCTTGGCCGCCGTGTGGACTTCGACTCGCATGCGAGGAATGGTGATGGCTTCATGTATCTCCTTAGCTATCGGACTCAACGTGCACCACCTCCCGTGCCACCAACGTCGCTTGCACTTCCGTCAGTCCGAACTGCTCTGTCATGCTCTCTTTCATCATCCGCCTCGGGGGAGCTGGGGACCACCTGCAATGCATGCAGCGCTGCAGCACCGGTTCCGTCACGGACACCCTGCCACTGGCCTCCACGCTCGGCGTGCTTCGGCGCATTCGGAAATGAGCAGCCAGGTCTAGACCGCGACTGCCAACCTCAAGTTCCAACACCCCTCTGAAGTGACACGGGACACGCACTGCTTCATGCATTGGCGGTGTGTCAAGCTGGTCAGAGCTCTGCGAGAACACTCCCCATGGACAAAATAAACGCCTACCGGAGACAGCAACATTTCGAGTCCGGATGCGAACTTGGACAAACTGATGAGGAAACTGATGAGGAAATACTGGCTTGGCATGAGTGAGATCTGAAAAGAAAAAGCTGTCGTCGACTTCTGAGCTCCTGGCAACCATCAGCTTTCTCTTTCGCAAGTCATGGCATCGAGCACAGCGCACGACACCATCTCGGCGACGACCTTTCAGAGTGTGGCTGCAACAAGCCGCAATGTCTTCAAGCACACTGAGCTGGCCGAGCTCTCGACGAAGCCCTTGCTCCGGACCATTCCTGTGGTTCTCGTCTTCACAGCCGTCAATGGGAACCTCTAGATCAATCATGGCAATGTGTGTGTCAATGCTTGTGCATTGCCTGGACTAAAGTGACATGCAAGTGGGCATGAAGCGAGGCTGGCACCGTGCTCTCAGCATCATCCGGGGATTCTGGCAGAACTTGACATTTGACAGTGCTGCTGCATCGCAGATTGCTTGGAACATGGCACGGGCATTGTCGGTGCCTTCCACGGTCTGCACAGTGGCCGCAGCGGCGCTGCGCTTGGTTCCACGAGCCATGGCAGCAGGGCCCGTCAGGCACAAGAAGTTCTAAGTTCTTTTGACAGGTGCAGTACGCCCAATACTTGGCCTAAGCTCTTCCCTTCCACTGTGACTGTGACCGACTGGCGATACAGCACCCCTGCAAGCACCCATTAGTACGACGTCATGGTCTTCGCTCCCTCCTGATGTACCAAAGAGCTAGCGGAAATTCGTCTGGTGTATCCAATGGTAGGTGTCCGGCTGAGTATTGAAACTGTGCGCGATGGAGAGAGAAAGTCAGGTGGACATCGAGCTTGCTAGGACAGGTTTCTCGGCTGTAGGACAGGTTTCTCGGCTGCAGGTTTCCTGCTGCGTCCCTTAAGGACCACAGGGCTTGAAACAGTCGAGCTATCCTAACAGCCGGTACAGGATTTCCGGCAAAGGGATTGGAATCCAGGGTCGACGCACCAGCCAAGTGCCTGCCCATCTGCACAGGTAGCCACCTCTCCGATGGCCGGGAAAATCGTGTCCTCGCATCTGGGGTAGCAAAATGCTGGGCAGCCCGCAGGGGCCTCGGCCGGGTCGTCCACGTTGCACCCACAGCTCTCTGGGCACAGGCGAGCCAAGGGTGCAAAAAGATTCTCGAAGCCTTCGCACCACTTCCAACCCAACACGACTTCGCGTTCCCAACGACTGTTGCTCAAGGCGGAACAGCCCTGCAGCTTCATCTCTCGCGCCATTTCTGCGACTTGCGACCCTACCGTATTGTTAAACAGAGACTGACCTGTGCTATTCTCTATCACACTCGGATATGCATCCCAGAAGGCATCCCAGGAAGGGGTTGAGTTCGCATGTGTATCTGCACAGGTGCGTGCAGGGCTCTGGTCTGCCTCTTTCAAACACCCTGCCGGACAGCCTAGGGCCGTGACCTTGAACCAGGCAGCATTGTGGATCGCGCTGGAGCAGCACGTCTCTCCGCACACCAAGCGCACCAGCGAGCCAGAATCCACATCACAGAACTGGGCCATGTCTTCGCATGAAGTGTTTTCGGGCAAGCCTAGCCCTGCTAAGGCTGAGTGCCAGTGAGGAGAATAGTAGCCTTCGATGCCCTCGGGAGTGTTTCCTGGAAGGAAAAAGCCATCGAAGTTGATACACCAGCTAGCAATTTCTTCAGCAGGCTCTGTCATCAGCATCGTCCGATACTGGTTGAAGCGCTGAAGGTCTGCTTGCATCAGAATGTACTTGGCTGGCTCACGTTCGGCATCTTTGAAGATATATTCGTCAACAGCACGCTGGCTCACAGTTGTTGCTCGCACGTCTTGAAATGGCGCCGTGCTGAACCCAACGGTGATCTTGACATCCTCAGTGAGTGCCACGGAACGGCGAAACGCATTGAGCCGAACAGTGTGCAACATCCCGAGAACTCTGTTTTCTTTCTGCTAGGCCTAGGGCCTGGGGGTCGGCGTCCCGACCCTCAATTGAGCAGGAGCACGGTCATCATTGAGTGGAGTGAAGTATTGAATTACGGCCTTAGCTGTTCCCCCGAATTCCCTCGTTGGCAAGGCGAGGCTCAGAGTGCGAAAGGTGAGTTGAAAAGCAGCTAGGATTTGGGGCTAAGTGGCCCGTTTGCCATGGGGTTGAATGAATGAGGGCGGAATGGCCCATAAAAAATTTCACACCTTTACAACTATTTCTCTGAAATCGCCCTCAGAAGGCTGTCGCTCAAAACTTTTCACAGTGCGAACATGGTCTCCAGGGTGGTGAGCTTCCCCGTTGTGAAGGCAAAATTGCACGTGGGGTGTAGTTCCCCTCACTCGTCTTCGTCGCTGCTTCCCCCCGGTCAGACGGGCTGTCTTCAACTGGTTCCATTTTCTCCAGATGATCTCTTACATCACTGCGCTCCAATGTCACACGCGGTGCTCCCCCATCATTAGTTCGACAAGGGTTTGCAGTCCCCCGCGGTTTTGCGGGCTGCTCGTCTCCTTCTTCATCGGCCTGCTTTGGGATCACATCCCCCTCGCCTTTTGTAAGTGTTGTAGCTGTCCTCGGAGTTGTTGTGGGTGCGGCATCGGTGGCTGAGTTGGCTTCCCCCTCCTTGCTCTTTCTTTGTTGCGAATGCGTCGTGCTTGTCGTAAGAGCTTCTTGACATGGTGCGGCAAGCGACCGATATGTCTGCGGGTTTCGTCTGCTTGCTTGGGAAGGTACTTCTCAACGATGCGCACGAGCTTGTCTGCCATCTCCCCCACACTGGTACGTTCTTTGTGCCTTACTTGAAAGGCTTGGTAGGCTTTGGCTCTCGTTTTGGTAACTACAACTCAGTGTTCGTGACTTGGGCAAGAAGGGCGAGATCGTGAAGTTCACCCTACGTGGTACAATAGAGGGGAGGTGCAGAATATGCAGATACGGAAGGGGACTTGCACGATTCGTTTCCGGAAGACTCATGACAGAACGGTCCACGGGTCCACCACCAAGGGGAATGTACCCATATATAATGCCTGCGGAGCAGATCTCCAACAACCACCACACCACCGAGCGAAGGAGCTTCTACAGCGGAGCCAGCCACAGCGAGCCGTGGCACTTCTGAAGCCGGGGGACAAGCTAAGGCAAGCTGTCGGGGTGGAAGGCGTGCGAGTCAAGATACGCCGTCAACAAGGCCCCTAGCCCAGATGACAGCATTTGAAACAAGGCGGGGATTAATCCTGCTCTATGAGCCCGAGCCTTTGGACGAATGGATCGGTCAAAGCATACAACAAGACACCGCCAGTGGACGCTACAAGGACGTGGCGAAGGGGGGGATGGCTCCTCCCCCGCCCAATGAGGAATTAGAGAGGGAACGCCGTGGCCACAAGTTCAATCGCCTGGTGCTCGAAAAAGTCGGTCCACTCCGGTCTGCAATTCGGGAGATGAAGCCCTTGCAGTAACGAGGTCACGTGCGGTGAGAAGTGGTTCGACCTTGCCATCCTCAGTTCTGGCTCAGCCTTGCAAAAGGTGCTACGATGCCACTGAAGCAACACGGCAACGGATACATGGACTCAAGCACCGCTGGGAAAGACGGGAAGGCTCCCGTCCAGGTGAAGGTGCAGCACTTGAGCCAAAATGGCTACCCTTTCTTTCGACAGGGCTATGGGTGAG